GGGGGGGGGGACAGGAAGGAAGCAACGGTACGTGCTGGCCCTTTGGCTGCCAGTAGAGGGTGCTGTTGAGGTGAGACTGAATTGTTTTCGCGATTAACCCTTTCTTGTGTGGTTCCGTTGGCAGCTCCCTCTCTTCCCAGACGGACGGATGCGCCTCCCCTCTCATCCACACAAAGCTTTCCCTGCGGCCACGGTCCCCAGCGCCTCGCCACTCCGAGAGCCCCTCGCCTACTTCTTCCTTTCGGACCCTTCAGCCTTCCCCTCTGCTTTCTATTCGCTCCTCACGCTCCTACTCCCTCCCCTTGACCCCGGCTGAATCTCCCCGGACACCAGATGCTCATTCGTCACCCCCTCGGTCCCGCCGGAAGCCCCCACGAACCACATCTGTGCAGGCCGCGTCGTGCGAAGACCTGTATGCCCACAGGACTCTCGCACGCCCCAACACGCCCATGGGGAGGGTAGACATTGCCCCCAGCGAGGGCCTCCCCCACAACCCCTATGCCGTTGTGTCGCCTGGCACCAGGGGGCACCCCCTCACGCCTGCCGACCGGTACGATGTCTTCCCTTCCTCCGAAGACCCCTATTGCCGGCGCTACACTCGGAGTCCTCATCCCGGCAGAGCCCGGCCTGTGGGTGAGGAAGGCCTCACACCCACCCTCGGGAGACAGCCACAGACCAGAGTAAGTGGATGACGCAGCAGCAGTGGCGGCCACAGAGGCCTGGGCTTCGGCGCCTGTCTACATTTGACCCCTGCGTTAATCTTTCTCTTCTTCCCAGTTTGCAGACCGCGGTTACATCTCGCCCTCCACTGGGCCAGTTCGTACTTTGGTCATGTCTCGGCTTCAGGGACGATTGGTGAGTACCCTGTGCCCATACACACGTGGCTTTCCTTTCTTTTCCCAACAGTCTTTCTTCCCCCTTCCCTTTGCTCTCTGCCCCCTCACCCTCCTGTACCTGTCTTGCAAAACCTAAAAATGTTACCATGCAGTACCTGAGTAAAGTAACACCCTTGAAGTCAGTGGCTTCGAAAGGGTGTAACTCTGCTTTGC